CCCCCCCTCTAAAATCAATTCTCTCCTGGAGATCGTCTTCGTGAGCCTCTCATGATTTCAGGATAGTTGAAACCCTCTTGAACATTCAGAAAGAGTGAATATGAAATTCTAATCACGAAAGGTGTTCTGTGAAGCGCGTCAATTCTCTCCTGGGGAGCGTCTTCGTGAGCCTCTTATGGTTTCAGGATAGTTCAAATCCTATGATGTTCCGATTCAATGCTCACCGATGATCTGAGCCATGGGGCAAGTTTGTTTTCCTAAGAATCTTTTTGAATATTTCGAGAGCACATGTTTGAACATTTAAAGTGCATATGAACATATATGTACGAAAGGTCGCCTCCGAGGGGATAAATCACCATGTCGAACATTGCATTTTTGTTCCTGCCTCTCGTGTTCTCTTCTCTTCCCGCTGTCCTACCTTTCGTGTCTCCCTCCTCTCAAGTAAGATTCAGTTCAATCATATCACACCTCTCGTCCGTTGTGCTCGTTTTGTGGTCCAGGTCACACCGCCAACAGCCATGACCTTAGATACGTTTAAGCATCAGGGAAAGGAGGTTGCTAAGATCTCTCCCTAATTCTCTTAGCCGACGGGGAGGTCGATCGCATGTTGGACATGGGCTTTGAGCCACAGATCCGGGACATCGTGCACTGGAAGGTCAGGGAGCCTCAGGGTAAACGGCTCCGACCGGTGTTCTATCCTGTCAGTAAAGCTGGCGAAACATTGCGGCAGATCACAACATACAACCCCCACCCCGCGCAACCGACTCCAGGAGTGACCTTACCCGTACTGTGAGCATATTGCGACTGTGCCTCTTTGTTCATGAAACACGAGGTACCTCCTTCGTTCGGCGTTTCCACCCAACAGGTCCGACTCAAGTGACAGGAACCCCTCGTGCAGACACACGCGCATTCGGTTTTAAATTCTTTTCTGTGGTCGCGCTTTGCTCCGTCGTATACCAGCTGCCATGGTCAGACTCCCACAATTAGCATAGCATCTGTCATATATGCACATGGTCTCAACCGAGTCTGGAGCACCCATTCATGCTGTTGTCATGCTTCGGTTGCCACAAGGAATACAGCTTTACTGCGCATAGCATTGCACATCCCGACTGGACTCATTCCTGTGCCTAGGATATGCCTTCTGCAAGGGAGGCTTGGAGAAGCCCTACGGTAACACTGTCGGGTGTTGCGCGCGCAAGGCTCTTCATCTTGCTTTTCCTATCTTTTTCACGAGCCCCTTTCAAGCTGTCTGGATCTCTTGGCGGCAAGTGAGGGAATTCTTTTGCTCCGGTACGAGTATCGTACCGTAGGGTTTTTCTTCACTTCCTGATTTCTCTAGATTCGTGTGCAACGCGCTCACCGGCAGGGGCGGATGACGCTGATGTTTCCCACGAGCTTTCCGCAAGAGGTTCAAAAGCTGGCGCAAGCCTTCATGCACCCCGCAGTTTTTTTTCGGTCATTGTGGTTAAGGCTTTGCTTTAACTTGCGCTTGTCCCCTTTTCACAGCAGGGCTCCCCGCCACTTGCTACGCCTTCCAGGGATTATCCACTTACGGGGATTGACTACAAGCCATGTTTGCTCACCTCACTTTTTGACCTTGGCCTTTTAACGTTGGCCTCACCCACCCTTTGTGAGACATGCACGATTCTGCGCAGGACTTTTACAGTTAGGCTAACCCACCCTTCTTGAGACATGCACGATTCTGCGCAGGAATTACATTTGGATTGGAGTGGGTCGAGTCGATGGTGCCGTGGACACTGCAAGGACCTAAGTCACTTTCCGTTAGCTGGCGGCTGGCGTGAAAGGTCGGCGCCTTCCTTTATGTTGGAATCTTCCGCTGCACCCTGATTAGGCTTTGATTCGAGCTTGACGGCTTTCAAGACTTACACTTCATCCTTGTTTCAGACACCCACCAAGGCAATGCCTGAAGAAGCGCCTCCAGAGCCAGAGGCCGGGCAAGCATGCGGCCGCATGTTGCAACATCGATCCCGCCGCACCAGTTTCCGTGCAATGTTTTCTCTCCTTACCCTGAGGAGGAAGGAAAGCCTGAAGACCCTGCGGACTTGGAGAAGGCTGGAGACCAAACTCACAGGTTGCAGTACAGACAGACAGACTCTTGTCTGACTCTGTGTTGCCACTGACAACCTCGTCGCTGGAGCCCCTCCCTTTTCGCTTCACATCCGTCCCGCGCCTGACCGTCCCCTCTCCACGCAGGAACTCTAGGCCTTTGGCGCTGCTGTAGACGACGAACCACGTGCCACCCGGCCGCTCTTGGCATCAGGGGTTCCCTCCCAACTGTTCCGACAAACTAATTGGCACCCCTACAACAGCTGCCCGCGCAGATCTGTCTTTCCTCCTTTTCTTGACCTGCCCTGTGCACACATTCCTTGACCTAGGCAACCAAGCGACTGCGGACCGAGCGCCCCATCACTGCCTTCGTTTGAACGAAGCCGGTGCCGGGCCTCAGAATTGTACCCGAACTTGATATCAGTACGGACATTAGGCAGCACATACTACCAGGCACGGTTCTACTGTGATCTTCGTCCTGAGATTGAGACTGACTGTCTTAGACTCATAGACCACCCCCAGACCTACCACTGCAACCGAATCACATAGAGTTGCATTACGCAGGGTCATGCTCAAGATCTTTCGGTGGTGGGGGACTTGTCCAGTGAAGCCCCCGGGGCCCCTGATAGAATCAATACAAAATGTCCTCCATCCGTTTTGTTCACCATGAGTTCATCAACAGTATCTGATGCTCAATATTCACCAGGGTATGACAGCTAACAACAAAAAGACAGCTTCAAACCAGAAAATCTTCCACAAAATCGTGTCTCGCAAAACCCAGGTCAACCCAGGTCTTGACAGGTCGACTCAGTCGACGACCCGGTGACGGGGACCCGTCGCATCTCCCCAGAAATACCCCCCGGTGGACGAGTCGTGAGACACGCGGTTCTCGCGAAGACGCAGAGTGCGGAGAGATGCGGAGTGCGAGGTGTGTAGCTTCGGTGAAGCCACGTGAAAACACTGAACAGCGGTTCTTACCCTAGTTCTGGCTATCCATCGCCGGCACGAGCCTTCTGAAAACAAAAACAATACAGCTCAACAAGGAGACACACCCTATCCCAATCCAGTCACTTCTTTGGGGTCTTTCGAACAAAACGCCAACTAGGCAAGGGGAACCCCTGGTAGAGACCGTATCAACCCAATGGCTTTTGGAACCTCGGAGTCCCATTCCGACTTTTTATGCTGGCCACTGGCGGGCAATGCTGGCGTGAATGCTTGACACGGATTTCTGGATGTCGTGCTCAAGAAATACATGACATGACCCATGTTGAGAATAAATCCTACTTTATATAGTCATGGATATGTTTGGCCATTCCTTGACGGACTGTACCCCGAGCCAACTTCTGGCACCTGCGTAGCGACAGACACTTCTTGCTGCATGTCACTGCCATTGTTCATGCTGCATACATTCTAATATTGCTTGGCACTCCAGTCCTGGCAAGATATACTGGTAGCAACGGGTATTACAGTACCCAACCAAAATATGATGTTGCTACCATGGCCTGGAGTATTCGCGTTGATCCCATGCAAACTATCCTCACATACAAACACAACTATATCTATACTCTAATTCTCAGGCCTTGCTTCCCGATTGTATGGAGAACCCAAAGCTTCGTACATCAATTATATATCTGTACGAGAAGAAGTCAATCACTTAGTTTTCAAGCAGAAGAAGTTTTGTCATAAGCTCTAGTTCAACTAAACAGAGACAAGACCTCTTCTGGCACTGAAACCACTAAGTTTTATTGGTTTGCTCATGTGCTCTTTCAGTAGAGCTATCTACTGAGGACCAGGCGGGATTTGGGCTGCTGCTATTCCAGTCACCTCGCCGTGATATTCCTAGCCATCTCGCCGTGACATGTTTCGGGCAGTGACATGTTTTCAGCAGCCACCGAGCCAATCTCCGAAGCCCGACGAGAGACCCCAGAGACCCATCTCTCCCACAGGCGAATTTTCGAATTGAGGGTTTTTGTTGGATCACACATATTTTGGGCTGCATGTTCACAACGGAGGTTTGCAGCAACTTACGTAGCGCAGTGTGAGAAAGCATGTCGTACATAATTATAGATAATATTTGCATACTACACTACTATACAGGTCAGGTGTTTTAATCTCTAAGTCTAAGGAGCATTCAGGAGCAGCCAGGTTGCATCCAGCTGACCGTTGAACCCGCCCTCGCGCGGCACTACCAATTCTTCCTTACCTCTAGCGAAGTGATCCCTCTACCTTCCCTGGGACCGCCACTCACAGCTCCGGCACTTCTGATGCTCTGGGCCGTCCGACTGCAGACCAAGCTCTCGGCAAGGGAGATGCTCCGGTGACCCTCCTGTCATGTGTCAAGTGCGAACGATGAGAAAAGACCAGGTGCGATCTGCAGATTCGAACACCCCTTGAAGGCCTTGAATCCTAGACCCAGGGTAAAGTAGTAAAGAGCAAAAGAGGATGCTAGGTGGCGACCCCCGATCCAAGGACAAACATATTGATCAAAGATACAATCCCAAACAAAGAGTTCCCGGATGTTACCAGTGTGTTTCCACAAATCCACTATAGCCCTCCGAACCAAAGAACCTCCAACTCATTCAACATCTTCATTTCAACATGCCCACGGCGCTCCATGTTCCTCTATACTCCAACAAGAATCGAAACCCATTTGGATTCTACATCAGCCTCAGTTGCTTTAGACGTTGCTCACCTCATCCCCCTTCCCCACCTCGGCGTTGGCGTGGGCGACCGCGCTGTGGAGCGCACACCCCGGTGCCGCGCCGGGTGACGCGTCGGTGCGTCGGGGTGACGCTCCGGGTCGGGCGCGCGGAAGGTGCGAAACGCGCCTCAGGGAGAGATCTTAGCAACCGCGGCATTCTTGAGCGCAATTAGAATTGAGCGCAATTAGGTTTAGTGGTGATGTCTACCGCGCATGCTGGGCAGACCTTGACCTTTTGAGGCTGCCACCGATGAAGTCTTGGCCTCAGAAACCTATAGATTCCGTATACGCTTCGGTTTTCCTGGGCATTTCGTCCGTTGTGCTCGTTTTGTGGTCCAGGTGACGCTGCCAACTGCCATGGCCTTAGACACGTTTAAGAATGAGGGAGAGGAGGTTGGATCTTTGAACGCTGGGCAGACCTTGACCTTTTGAGGCTGCCGCCAATGAAGTCTTGCCCTCAGAAACCTAATCAGTTTTCCTGGGCATTTCGTGCAATCTGACAACCAGAAATGCTTGGGAAGAGCATGCTGCGCACTTCATTATTCGGTTCGACCCGGCTTCCGTTTAACCTATTTTCGCCCGCTTGCCGACTTGGCTGTTGCGCGCGTTCTTCAGGCCGGCCCCGCGAGACCAACTCCAGCGGCCCACGACTAAGCAACGTCGCGTCCCCTTCAGATTGTCCTTCGCTTCCACTCTATGTACCCCACCGACTTTTGCATATCTACTTCCTCAGGCGCTTGCCGCGTCCAAAGCAGTCGTGACCTCAGTGCTCACGTCATGTTGGCCTAATTTCTTGTTCTTGTCCATCGCCTTTCCTTGCGGCAGGCGGAATCGCCCAGGCAACTTGTCTTTGCCCTAGATGCTTTAAAGCGGCTTGGTGCTGCCGTGTACATCGCCACTCGCTATGCTCGTACACGCCCAGGT